ATAAAATAAAATCTGTGTAATTAACAGTTACATAGGGCTAAGTAGCGTGGAATGAGGGTGCCCGGAGAGTAGGGTTTGAGAGAGAGGTCACTTGCAGAACCCAGCCAAAGTGAAGGAGGTAGCATTAAGTCGGGGAAGTAAGAGGGGCTAAAACAGCCCTGCGCGAAAAGAGGGAGGGCGAAATGGGTCAAATTTCCTCAAATATTGCTTATCCCGAATAATAGCGCCGGGGCGTTTCTGCTATAAAAACCTACGATCTCTCCACCGAAATTTCTGATCAAACCATACTTGAAGAAGCTAATGTTGACTTTTTCCAGATTTAGTAAATGACGTATTTCGGATTTTAGGTTCTATTTTCACTATTATTTTTATGTATTTATATTTGTTTGTATTTATTTATATTATATTTATTTGTATTTATTGTCTATTATTATTATTTTATTTTTATTATCTTAGCTTTTATCTCATCTTATGTCATTTGCCATTCAACAAAGGAGGTAGAAGGGTGCATTAGTGATTGTTCAAATTATGTTTTTCTTGTGGAACAGGAGTTGTGTAGCGGCACGTGATGCCGCTTCACCGCTCGACGATCAAGGATCGAATCTCGCCCAGGCCAACCATGCCTTACTTTCTTCCGGAGTCGGGCAGATAATACCAGGAGTCGTCTGATAGGGTAAGAAAATTGAACTGCACCCGCAAGCCATTGTTCAGGCCGCACTAGATCCAGATTGGCTACAGTTCTGAGTGGAAGTCAAGCATGTAGCGCATCCCGAAAAGGGGATGGTCGTGCCGAAAGCTGTCTTTCTTTACTCTTTATCCTTTTGGTCATATACGTCAGTCGTAGAACGGATACTTTCAGATAAATAATGCGGCAATAGAATTGAGAACGAAATGACAATGATTTTTTCACAGCGGTACTGAGTTATGAACAAATAGCCTTACACGGAACTCGAACCAGGACCTCCACTTTCTATGGAGTGGCTAATCCGTTGCACCACAACTGCTACATATTAGCTGCTTTGCCGGCTTCCAATGTTAGATTAACTAGTCTAAATTTCTGACTTCCCCCTTCTTTCCCACACGATTTCTTATCGCTTCGCGGAAGTTTCCTGGCTGTTGTTTTTCAAAGGAATCGGAACGCTCATTTACGTGTGTCTGTTCCCGAACTCTGAGCGTTACGAGTCTACGACGTGTGATTCACAGAGCTCATTAGCAATGAATGAGGTCATAAAACTTAGCAGTGAAACTTCGATAGATTTCCGTTCACCTCTATCAACTGGTTTCGTTAAGCGCTTGATGACCTGGTTTGCTGCAGCGGAGGCAGAATTCATGCAATGAGAAATCGCACTAGAAAGAAAAACACATCTGCGATTTCACG